CCCATTTTAGAATCACCTGCTACAGTTTCGAACGTGATTTTGCCCGTGCTTATCCTCTTCCGTATTGTCAATGCTCTCATCATCCGCACGACCTTTGTACCCGATGAATACTGGCAGTCGGTAGAAGTGGCGCACCGTTGGACCTTTGGGTGCGTTGTCGCATTTTTATTCATTTGATATATGTGTCGCTTCCCCCCTTTTCCAGCACTTTGCCGGAAAACCACCTGTACGTCGGTAATACTAGTAAAAGCCGTTTAGGGGAACATACATTACGATCGGAATTATGTAGCCCGCCAAGAAAACCATCCTTTGGCGGTGCGTTTGTTTCAATGTTTTATATAACAGTGAATTAACTTGCGCGGGGTTAGAAAGAGCCAAAGGAATCCCTCGATATTATAAATCAAATTCTACGTGCCCAATTTTGCGATAGGGCCAAGTAGTTGATTTGGAAATGGAATGCCCAGTGAAAATTTGAGAAGGCTGTCAAGATTTTACCCGCAAAATCTCTTACAACCATTCACGTATTAGAGATATTTTCGAACCGAAGGAAGAGTAGGGGAAGGGGCATATTTTCATAAACTACCGTTTTATCCTCCTAGTTTCCTGAAATTGTCAGCGTTTGTAGGCTAAATGCAATACTTGTTAGCTTAATAAAACGTTTAATCAGAAAACATTTGGCTTTCAGGTACGGAGCCCTCACATGGGAATGGTGGAATTCCACAGCCATCCGTTCTCCGCTTCATCCTCTAATGTTTGCTGGTCTGTATAAGCTGCTAGCTGCCGTCGGTCTTGATTCGCGACTCGCAATAATATATCTGCCGCGTCTTCTACATGGAATTTTAGCCGCGGTTGCAGACTACAATCTCTACTGCATGACTCATCTCCTTTCTGGTCCCACCACTGCGAAGGTCGTTTTATCATGCCGAGGTTTTATTTGCATGACGTGTCTCCCTTTTGAATCACCGCTATTTTGTAATCACCCGCACATTTTGTTTTAGTGGACACTCATTGCGCAGTGCACCAATTGGTTTACGGCGTTTTGTGGTCCTCGAAGCCTGGCGAACAACCTGGAATGGGCGTTGACCACGGCCGCATTCAACTTCTATCCCTGGTCTTCGTTCGTACCAATAAGAAAAAGGTCGACAGTTTGTTTTATCACACTAGTCTGCGTGTGTTCAATCCTGCGCCCCACTGCAGCCCTCATTTGGGCTCCAATCTGCCTATTCCACCTACTCTGTACACTGTGAGTTTCTCTCTGGCAACTTACATTGCTACTGAGCAACGTTCAGTAGCATCTTTATATAGTTATATAAGCGCCATTTGACTTTACGCAACGGCTACGTGACTCGTTCACCTTTTGTGTACGAATGCAGACCTGTGTTCATGGTAACTTGTTGGAAGGTTACGTTCCTTACACTGCCTGCCCTGTGTATTAGTTGTGCCACTACCATGCACAGCAATTGTACAAACACCTCAGCCGCTAGTTTTGCTTATCCAAGTGCCTTGGCTAATCGCCCTGAATGGTTGTTGGTGTGGCCAAATAAGTGAAGTCAGAAATTGACGGCGTAGAATCTGAAGTCCTTTTCTACAGGATTCCAAACGTATGCAATATTGGCCGACGTCATCGAATGAAAGGGATTCCTCAGCGGAAATAACTTCAATTTTTTTACATAAATCGTTCAGCTTTTTCAGTTCATTTGGAGAGTTTCACCAATAAATACTAAGCTGGTTTTTTCAGCTTTTCCCTTATCATTTTTTCTGATGCCGACAGTTGTTGTCGTTTACCATCGACATTTAGATGCAGTCTCCCACGAAATTTCCTTCACTATTCTCTCTTCTCCCCAGTCGGACAATATTTTCAGTCATAATATTTGAATGAACGCTCAATGATTGCTAACTGTACTCACTCGTCCCGTTCTGCCTGGGGGCTAACTCTCGAGCCCCGCTGGCAGATAGACAGTAGCTAGTTATGTAGGTAGATGAGCATTACCGGCAAAAAAAGAGAAACCTTTCTGGCTTATTACCGGTAATCAATCAGCCATTCCTAACCCCAGTCGATGCATCATTCGACTTTTGAATTTGCGGCCTCTTGGTCAGAAGTCCAACGGTCTAACCATTTAAGTACACTACTAGACTCTACTATACGGCTCCTGGCGGTCTCTTAAACGTGGAACTTAAAACAGCACGCGACCAGTGAGTTACGTTAGCTGTCGGTGAACGTTCAGTATCCAACTTCATCTTCTAAACTGACAGGAGAACGAGGCCATTGCAGAATGGTTAGAGCGTTGTACTTCTGGTAGACAGGTCGCGGGTTCGAGCCCCGGGTGGTACACCATTTGGGGAGTTGGATATGACTGGCTACTGAGCCGGAAATGGCCATTCCAGCCTCCCTTATTTTTGCCGACCATGGAAATACTAGTTGGCACGATTTTCAATATTGGGCAGCACGCAAGACGATGGCTGTTTTTAGCGACCTCTGTATCGCTATCGCGTATGGTGCGGAACTCTGACTTCTTATGAGAAACTACGTCTTACAGAGTTTTTATCAATTCGCGCTTTTCTCATCTGAGCTAAGGTTTTTGAATTTGTTTACTGATTTAATGAGACTTAACAGTCACGTCTATAATCTCCTTATCTAAATCTTCATATTCCCTTTTTCTCTAGTTCTGCATTAACTTCTCGGCCCTGCCATA